GCACCAGGGCCTTCCTTTCTAGGGTATACCTGGTTCCCCGGCTATTAGTACCCGGCGAAGGCGTGCGGTTTTAGTCGGTTCGAGTCCGACATGCCACCGGTGGTATCCGAGGGGATTTGCGCACGGAAAAAAAAAAAAAAAAAAAAAGGGTATTATTATAGAGATAGGGGTATTATTATAGAGCTAGGGGTCCCAGTCTTTCCAACAACAGCCTATTCGAGTTACAGATAAGCCTAGAGAAGAGATCCTAACCTCTTTGAGCTACTGCCAACCTTCTCCAATCCTTTCCTACTTATCATTTTTATCTACTTTTCTTTTCAATGTTCTTCTAATTTTCCAAGAAGTACCCAGTCTATGGCAACAGGATTGTCCACCGTTACATAAGTAGGACTAAAATAATGCCTACCACTTTGGCGATATATCGTCATCAATCATCATCATCAACGGCCTTAATAGACCACTGCGGACAACAGGTTTTGGCCTACTATACCACGCTGGCCAGACGGCATAGGGTTTATTTCAAGTTTTCCTACGATTTGCAGTGCTGTTGTCCTGTGTAGTTTGCTCCGTAAGTCAAACGAGACCCACAGGATGTGTAGGGGCAGTGACACTCTGTATTCTTAATCCGTCACCACACGGACTGCGTGTATGTATTATTACAATAGAAAAATTGGTGGCGTATTAATAAGCGTACCACATTCCGTATTGATTACACAACGTACAGTCAGTACATGACGTGGTATTCAAATAAAGGTTGAAACAATGCAGTTAATAATACATATATTTAGGTAGACAGGTATTTATATAGGTAGTCAGTAAAATGGAAATTTACGTTCCTGCACTAGCTACTTTATATTGTTTCTTGTTTTAAGCATAGTTTTTAAAGTAGCAAATAATTTAAATCTTAAACTCGCCATTACACGAAGTATCACCTACTTTTGTAGTCATTGTCCCGCTCCTATGGTACGCCATAAACGGCCAAGCCACATATTTTGACTAAGGTGTAGAGATTGTGAAGTTAAGGTTTGTACAGTTAGGGCGTGTAGAGTTAGAAGTTTGACTCTACATGAGATCTCATAATTTTTTGTGAGTGCGAGCCATATATTCTCGCCTTGGCAACTTTTTACATGAAAATGTTTTTGGTAGTATTTTACTTATTTTTGTAAGCTGCTTATGACTACGGGGGTTAAACTGAAAGTTTTCAGAAAAGAAAACGGAATAATGTGGAATATTTTTTGTTTCTGAAGTAGCCTCCTTTCCGTTCTAAGCAGCGTCGCATGCGATGGAACCATTGACTGAGGCAGCAAGCCCACTCTTCTTCAGGAATCTGTTCCACGACTTTTTCTAATGCAGCCACGGCTTCTTCAGGGGTCATAAAACGAAACCCTCTAACTTTATATTTTATTTTTGGAAATTAACAAAAGTCACAAGGAGCCAGGTCTGGATTGTAAAGAGGATGACTCGCTCGCTCTACCCCTTCGTTACTCAAATATTCGATAGTCCCTCTGCCGGAGTAAGTTGGAGGCTGGTGGATGGCGGATGCTGCTTTTCTTACTGGCATGTTTTAAAAAATTTTAGTGTGACCCACGTATATATTTTTTATTTACTTCATTTGTTCTTTCTTTTTTTTGGGATGTGTTTCTTGCACATCAGAGGTGCCTTTTTCATAGCCCACTTTTTATCTTTGCCCTTTTTTTGTTGGTTTACTCTTTGTAATAATAATTGATAAATCAGGGCGATACTTATTCATTTTCTGAATCTGATTACTAATAATAATTATTTATTTCTCCTGTCACAAAGGTTCATGTACATATATACTAATAGTGCTGTAATACACTATGAATTACGGAATTATAAACCTTTATGACTACCTAGCTGAGACCCGCGGTGTTACCCGCGTTTGTTGTTATAACCGCGAGCAACGGCGCGGGGCGAAGTTAGTCTAAAAAAGTAGCCTAAGTTACTCCTTATGTCATCAGCTATCTGCCATTGAAAGTCCCGTCGAAATCGGTCCAGCCGTTCCAGAGATTACCCGGAACAAACAGACAGACAGACAGACACACAAATTTAAAAAAAAATGTTATTTTGGCATATGTACCGTGTAAACATACATATGCATTTAGTAAAAAGCGGTTATTTTAATATTACAAACAGACACTCCAATTTTATTTATTTGTATAGAGTATAGAAGATAACAATAATAAAGTTTTTATTTAGGAAAGACAAAGTATCCATAAAGTGTTAGTTTTACATTTAATTTCTACTTTTTACCTAGTGTTAGTACCAATCACCTTCTGCACAGAGTGTTTTATAACCGGAGAGTTGAAAATGTCGGCTATAGTTTTCAGGAAGCTGTTCCGACTGTCTTTCACCCTTCTCAGTAATGAAGCTGTTTTTGCGCCATTTCGCTTGAAAACTATCTTTGTGAGCTTGCGCAAACATCTCCGTTGCGCTGCAGTAACGAGGTAGTCTCAACAACATCCTGAAAGTATTATTATACTGGACGCGCAGGACATCCAGCACCGTTTGGTGTAGTTGATCCATAAATTGCTCGTGTAAAGACTTTGGCAGTACGCCTTGAAAAGTGTAATTTTTACTAGCTCTGTACATCGAGCAAATCTAAGGACCAACATATTGCACCGGACAGCTAGAGCCCTACGCTCCCTCGCAATGTCTACATCATATTTAAAGACATCGGCAAGGAAATGACCTAAGTATTTAAAGGTGGACACCTTTTTTATTGTCGCTTCCGTCATAACTACTTCAGGGCTATTCTCACGACATTTGTCGCCGACTCCAAAGAACCGTAGGACCCAGTAGCACCATATCGTCTGCATAGCTAATATTGTTAATGACATCTGTTATTGACAAGTTTTATTTACTACTATACTTGTTTTTAACAACGAATGGCTACACTATTGTATTAGGTACAAAACCTGTAAAAATAGTTGTATTATGTGTCATATATAAATAAATAAATAACTCCATTAACGCTGCATCCGACACGCATGCCGCTGAGGGCCGATATGAGATTATCTATATAGAGATTGAAGAGCCTGGGAGAAGTCAGACCTCCCTGTCTCACCCCACAATTCAACCGATATGGCTCAGAGAGAGTATCGTCCCACTTTACATAATTGAATTAATGAATACCGGTCATTCATTTAGTTATTAAAATATAATCATCTTCTGCATCACATCGACAGCCTTTAATAGTTCACTGCTGGACATAAGCCTCTTTTTATAAAGGGGGTTTTGGCCTCCTATACCACGCTGGCCAGACGTATAATTCTGCAAGTATAGTAGGTATAAGTATTTACACATTTTTCGGAATAATTTATTACCAAATCGCATCAAACATCGAATCGAGACGTCCACTTCAGGAAGTGCCCCATGAATTTTGATGATCATCAGTGAGTCAGTGACGAAATCGAATTTTTAAATATCAATAATATCTAAAGTATAAGAGCTATGCTATTAAAACCTGATTTATTTAATAAGTTTACTATTGAAATCATATCTCGAGAATTTCGTTTATCTGTTACAATCTAAAACCCAGGTTAAGAGGATTAAAGAAAACGACGAAACTCTTCGAGAAAAAGTATTTGGGTAGTACCCTTGCGCTTCGCTTGGCTCGTCTTGGCGGTGGCACTACGATGCCACTAGCTAGCAACTTTACACGTGGTTAAAGTAGGGCTGCCAGATAGAAACTTTTCAAATCCGGGACAATTCTAGGACAAAGGCGTCGGGTCGTGGCCATAGTAAAAAGTATCTGGTTTTGTACGCACCTAGTAAGCACTCCCCTCCCGCGCGCCGCCCGCACTCACAGGCATGAGCCAGCCGTGTCATTCGTTGTTTATTTTGTTACAAAACTAGTAGGTTTTCAGAATTCGGGACAATAAGGTCTAATTACTGGACACGGGAAAAGACCCAAAATTCCGTGACAATCCCGGATTACCCGGCCATCTGGCAAACCTAGGTTAAAGGGAACACATTCCACGGTTTCAATATAAAAAATATCACCAATAGTCTCAAGAGCGATTTTATCAATATTAGCTCCACAGAGCAGAATGAGTGTCATCCTATTTTTTGCTATCTTAAAATCAGAAGCGAGAAAACCGGCGTTGAGCAATTTTTCGTTGCTTTCATATCGTCGCCCTGATTCTGGGCGGATAGAAAGGGTCTGTGTCGCAGTTATTGAAGCCACAAAAAAAAAACATAATTTAACCGTGTTAAACCGTAAACCGTGTAAACTTAACATTATTAAAATGAATCTTTATAGTTTTAATCTCATAGTAGCCTACAAAAAGTCTTGATATTTCTCCGAAAACGTATCCTACCCGACATTATAACAAACAATGTACGTACCCAAAGTAATAAGTACTTTTGAAATATCCATAATAACCATACCTATTATTATTAGATTATCATATACTCATATTGATATGACTGCCTAGTATTGAATAACAGTAAGGTTTTAAGGTATAAAGCTGCTTATCTTCCATCGCTTAATAGGTCTGTATTGTAGAATCACTACAATTGCGTAATTTTACATAATAAACGATCAATATTTTGTGTTCGTCTTTATTACGAATACAATATTTCAGTATCGAATTCCTGCTATTATACTTAATCGTTTTACAAAAAATGTTTCATGTCCATTGTGTTTGATGTACGGCTGGTATACCTCCGATTTAGACGGTGGGAGACCTTAATTAACCTTGGGTAAATTTTTAGGTCGGGCGAAAATATAATTGGATGGCTACGCTAAGTAATATTCATTTGCAATGAAAGCCTCGCTTAGTGAAGTCTATTTGAGTGTTTTATGAACGTAATTGTAAATAAAATACGGTCGGTGTTCTTGTTTAAGCGATTTATTTGATGAAAGTATTTTTTAAATGTTGTTGTTTGTTTTGTTTACAGATCTCTGTAATATCGACGAAAATATCAAGAATGGTGACGTCGTCTAGATGATATATAGCTAACCGTCTTGTGCAAACATGGGACATTCGGCAGCACACAGACAGATGGGTAAAGCAAGAAGGGACAAAATTGTAAGTAATGACCCTTACTTGTATATTGCACTTTATTAATAATCGCACAAATTTAAAATTGACTATTTAATTTTTAGTGGACCTGGCGCTGCCAATGGAGTGTAGTGACAATAGCAGCCATTGCCTTGGTTGTCTACAACGCCATCGCCAACGTCTGGTTACTCCATCCACCATCATGTCCGACTCACACAACGGCACCTCCATCAGACCCGCCGACTTGCGAGCCCTGCATCGAAACAGTATCAAACGCTGCCTTAGATGATGATCCCATATCCAGATTAGATCTACGACTTGGAAGATGGGATGGGTCCAGGTCATACAGACTCTTCGATTATGTTACGGTGGGAGAATTATACCCTGAAGTTTCATCTTCGCGTCGGGTTTGCTTAGCAACACAAAGCTCTATAGAAAGACTTCATGAGTTACTGAGAATAGCTGCTCATTGGACCGGACCAATATCGGTGGCAGTATTTGTAGCAGGAGATGAATTGAGATTGCTCAGAGCTTTTGCTACCTGGTTGTTTAGGTGCCGACCAGAGATATATTCAAGATTGACACTACATGTAACGATGCCCTCTGAAAGACCTGGAGTGCATGGTTCCATGCCAGTATGGGCGAGAGACTGCGAGACGGCGCCATTACCTCCTGGAGAAAGGAGATCTGATACAGTCGCCTGGCGAGCAAGGCATCCGTATCCTCAAAATCATTTGAGAAATTTGGCAAGAAAAAACTGTCACACGCCTTATGTCTTCTTAGTCGACGTTGACATAGTACCTTCTAGAGGAATGGCAGAAGCCTTGGACAAGTTTCTAGAGAATACTCCTAAATGTCCTCTGTGTGCTTTTGTGGTACCTACTTACGAACTTGACCGCAGGGTTGCCAACTTTCCGGTAAATAAATCAGAACTGGTACGGCTATCTAAACGGAAGCTGGCAATACCGTTCCATAGAAAGGTTTTTATTTATAATCAGTATGCATCTAACTTTTCAAGGTGAGTTAGAACTTAATTTTATTATAAAACCTAATTTTATTTTTGTGATAAAATGTGAATCTAGAGCTTTAAAATGAACATCAAGAATATTTTTACCCTTTAAATTAATAGTGCGAGGTACAATTTCAAAATATTCTTTACAGGTGGGAAGCGTCAGGTGGAAATGAGAGCTTAGAAACCCACGTCAGCCATAATGTTACCAACTTCGAGCTCCTCTATGAGCCGTTCTACGTGGCACCGGACACCGTTCCAGCACATGACGAGCGTTTTCTTGGATATGGGTTCACCAGGAACACGCAGGTAAGGTACCGACAGCGAACACACCATTCACATAAGTATAACAGTACTTAGATTTCTCGTAGAATATTCTAAATTTTTCCTAAACTACACCCAACATCAACAATATTTTTTCAACTTTAAGAAGCATATATACTGTATACACAGTACGAGAATAAATTATATTTATGGCTATCGTGTATCCTAATTTAATTAATGGTCGTCGCTTTGGTTTATGATCAACATTATTATTATATGTGATACGAATATCGGCGAGGACGATGCGATAAATGTTAATGAATAATTATTGTACTTTTTGAGAATTCATTGTAAATTTTACCAAAACTAAACTTTGGAAATTTTCGAGTGATGTTTTTAAATTAGAGACAGCAAACAAGTCTTATTATGAAATATTTGTTTCCATTTAAGGTAAGTGAGTAAATGTTAATCTCTCGAAAGGAGTACTGGACTATACGGGGATTACGAGTATAGTATAGTGGGTTCGATTCTCACCCAGGACAAATATTGTGTGATGAGCACGATCTGTGTCTGGGTGTGATTTATCTACAATATGTATGTATTTACAAATATATAATCAACAGATTTTTTAATACTCCTGCACTAGGAATATATATGTATATCTTGTGTCGCAGGGACTTTACAAATATACATGAAACGGACACAAAGAACACCCAGACTCAGATTTGTAGATCACACAAAGTGTCGTCCCATGTGGGCATCGAAACCACAACACTCAGTGTAGCGGGATGCGGCGGGGTGTGGCGACCGTTTGAACCACTACGCCATGCGTGCGTCCAAAAATTGGTTCCCATAAGACAGGCTCTGCCTAGTTTGGGACCGAACTGTCGTGTGTGAGATCTGTGAAGTTATTATTATTAGGTTTACAGAGATAGGCGACACCAGATTTCTGCTTGAATTTAGATTTGTCTAGCACCTCGCCCTTTTATTACAATCTGGAAACCTATTTAGACCATTACCGTCAATTATTATTGTAATTCACACAAAAACACACGATATTTCACTCTGTATGCACATACAGCTGCATTTTTTTAAGGTATTAATGGTATAAAACGGGACTTAATCGGGATAATATTTGAAACGTTTTCTATTAGCAGACGTGTTTAGCTAATTACACTGATCGTTGGTCACGGGTTGACATAGTGAGAGCGCAGGAACACTTCCGTTAGTAGCGTGTTTGTTCATTATTTTTAAATTGTTTGTCATTTTGCTGAAATATGAGCAGCAATGACCCTGAAATAAAATACCAAATTTTGTTTATTCCATTAATTACTTTTAAATACTTTACCTAGTCGCAATAGCATTAAAAAATGCAACATAAATTCCCATAAACCAGTGCTATGAGGCCGTTTCTTATTCAAATAGCACTATTTATAAATAGTTGTAAACAGATTTTATCGCGCCAGTAAACTATTGTAGCGCCCCATAACTCTGCATCGTCGTTTATACAAACAATGTGGGTCCTGGCCGGCAGCCAGTTGATTGTGACATCACGTCCGCGGCGCGAGGCCAATGTGTCGTAGATGTAATCCTGCGGTTCCGATGGATGGAGGAACGGACGGTTAGTATGTGTTGGGTAATGTCAGGAGTGGGAAAATGAATATATCCTTTATGGAAGGGGTTATTTTTAATCGAACTGTCGAATGATTACCGTTATTATTAAGAAGAATGTCAAAAATAATAACTCGCGCACTAGGAATATATCCTGTGTTTCGGGGAACTTTATGCACATACTTGAAACGGACGCAAATAACACTCAGACTCAGAATAACCATTTGTGGATCACACAAAGTGTTTGTCCTATGTGGGGATCGAACCCACAACACTCAGCGCAGTCGGAAGCGGCGTGGTGACTGCTTAAATCACTACGCCATCCGTACACATCATTGCAATGTACACCCTGTTCTAGATATCTATAAAGTTTATTTTGAAATAATAGACTATGACGAGCTTGTTGGTTTAGAGGTTAGCGATCCTAACTGCTAAGCCAGAGGTCGTGGGTTCGATTCCTACCAAGGCAAAATATTGTGTGATGTGCAATTAATGACGATAATCAATTTGTTGTGTTTGCGTGTAATTTATATATCTTTCTTTCTTTATTTATTTGAGACGACTCCCGCATTAGTAATATATCCTGTGTCGCGAGGTACCATACAAACATACATGAAACGCACACAAAGAACACCCAGACTCAGAACAACAATTTGTGGATCACACAAAGTGTCGTTCCATGAGGGGATCGGACCCACAACACTCAGTGTAGTAGTAAGCGGCGTGGCAACTGCTTAAACCATTACGCCATCCGTGCAGTCTTTTTTCAATTTATATATATATAAATTAGAAACACATTAGTATGTTTATTTAGAGATATATGGAGATTCGCCGGGATGACGACAAATACTTGTACATTATTACGTAATTTGGACAAAAATTTCTACTGTGGTGATTAAGACGTTATTTTTTTACAAAAGTGAGTTATTTCATAAAATTATACTGTAAATTATTGAAGTATTATGATGATATCATGAAAAACATATTATGTATATTTCTTAAATGAATTTATTTAAAACTAACTAAACTGAAAAACAGACACGTAACTAAAATGTTATGATATTTATTAACTCGTGTAAACATTATCAGATATTTATGTAATATGAAGCGCGATTCTGACATTGAAAATTGTATTGAATTCTTGGATAAAACAAAGATTCACAGGGACTTTGAAATAAATTATCAATTCGAAGTGGAAGCCACAATCTTTGTGTCAGAAATGTCGATAATTAATAGCCGTAATTAATATTTTAAAGTGTACTAATAATTAGTCAATAAAAGTATCGAAGTACTCTAAAGAGTATGTAAGCCTTAAGATTATAACTAAATTTGTCAAAACCACTTAAATATATACACTAAAGATGAACTTATTTCCTGTGAATACTCATCTAATTCAGTAATGTAAATTGGACTGATAGTTCAAAGGGTTTGTGAACTTTTACCGTCAAAGCATAAAACAAAAAAGAAACTGTTTATTACCATTATATTAGTAAAGATTAAAAACAACTAAGCCCCTTAATGTCCGTGTGGTGACGGATTAAGAATACAAATTGTCACCACCCCAATTCATCCCGTGGGTGTCGTAAGAGCCGACTACGGGAGCAAACTAAGCAGAACAACAGCACTGCAAAGAGAAGGAAAACTTGAAACAAACCCTTTTTTTTTTTTTTTTTTTTTTTAACGTGTGGAAATCCCCTCGGACCGTCACCCCTCCGGGGTTTGCGGCGGGGTGGTGTGTCGGACTCGGACCGACTAAAACCACACGGTGTGCCACTCTGCGCCTGTAACAGGAGGGATCCGGGAACAGCTGTTGTTAAGACATCCGGACCCCTCCTAGCGCCAGCCCGCTCCTGATGCGGGCTCCGTCTCGATATTTTTCCTCTCTTTAGGCGACGTCCGGCACACGCTGACGCCGCCCCCTCGCGGCTGGCCAACTAATGCGGGTGGAGGGGAAACCCACCCCGTCCACCCGCGGCCACACTCAGGGCGGCATGAGGCTGTGGTAGGCGGGCCTCCGCCGCCCGGTTCGCCGGCGGCGGATCGGGTCCGAGTGGAGGTCGTCCTCCCGGGCCCTCTCCGCCGCCTCCTTCCGCGAGATTACTACCTCGCAGAAGGTTGCGACCGCGGTAAAACAACTGTCGCTACCGGCCATGGAGCGTACTACGGCCGGTAGCGAGAGATCCACTCCGATGACTGCAGTGAGGGCCCGGCGCTGCGCCGCCCATGCGGGGCAGACCGCCAGCGTGTGCTGGGCCGAGTCCTCACTGCAGTCGCAGTGGTGGCAGGCGGGACTCAGTTCCCTCCTAGCGACCGTGTGCAGGTACCTTCCGAAGCAACCGTGCCCGGAAAGCACCTGCGTCAGTCGGAAGGAAAGGGTCCCGTGCTGCCGCCCTGCCCACTCGGCGATGACCGGCTGGAGAGCCTCCACGGCGGCGAAGCCAGCGCGTGGAGTCTCCAGCCGGAACGACCAACGAGCCATCGTGGCTCGGCGAGCGGCTTCGCGCCACTCGCGCACATCCTCGGGCGGAGGGCGAAATCCGCTCTCCGCCCGGAAGTCAGCCACTCGCCGATAAACTTCGGCGAGCACTTCCGCCTCCAAATCCCACGGGGGAGTTCCGGCCAACGCGCATGCCACCTCCGTAGAAACGGTGCGGTAACCGCGTATGGCTCTGACCGCCATTACCCTCTGAGGGCGCCAGAGGCGTACCCTATTCTGGGCGGTCAGAGCCGCCGCCCACACCGGTGCACCGTACAGCGCCATTGACCGGACAACCCCCGTGTACAGCCGTCTTGTCGCGACGCTGGGTCCACCCATATTGGGCAAGAGTCGCCCTAGGGCAGACGCAGCGCCGACCAGCTTTGGAGCAAGCTGTCGGAAGTGCTCGTCGAAGAGCCACCTCCCGTCGAGGATCAGGCCCAGATATTTCATCTGGGCCCGAACCGGTACGAGGACCGAGTTGACCACGATTGAGGCGCCAGGGGGTGGACCACGACGGGGCCCATGGAATAACAGGGCCTCCGTCTTATCTAGGGCCACCCGTAAGCCCAGCGCCTCAATGCGCCCGACCACCAGGGAGACTCCCCCTGTGGCCAGGCGCGCCGCCTCTTGGAAGTTTGCCCCCCGGGCTGTCACGAGGGTATCGTCTGCGTAACAGATTACACCCAGCCCGGGGGGGAAATCGGCGCGAAGGGCCCAGTCGTACCCTATGTTCCACAAGAGGGGTCCAAGAACAGACCCCTGTGGAACACCGCACGACATGGGCCGACACCTCAGATTACCTTCTCGGTCCTCGTACACGACGGTACGCTCCTCTAAATAGTCTGCCACCAGCCGCCTCAGGTACTTTGGCACCCCATGATAGTGGAGTGCTTCCCTGATGCAGCTGAATGGCAGACTATTGAATGCGTTGGCGATGTCTAATGACACCGCCAACAGCACGCCGCCACAGCTCACGGCCTCTTCGGTCACGGCCCTCAGGCGCAACACGGCGTCGACTGTCGAACGTACCGCCCGAAAACCAAATTGGGCGTCCGACAGATCGGGGCCCACCTCGCAGAGGTGCCGGACGATGCGGGCAGAAAGAACCCTCTCAAACAATTTGCCCGCCTCGTCCAGCAGCACGATGGGCCTATAGGCCGCGACCGAATCGGCAGGCCGTCCCGGCTTCGTCAGTAGGACCAGCTTCCCGCTCTTCCAGCACTCAGGGAAGCGTCCCGACGCCAAGCTAGCGTCGAACACCTCCCCGAGGCGGTCTGCCATGTGGTTGAGGGCCAGGGCCAGCACTCGGGCCGGTACCCCGTCTGGCCCAGGGGCGGTGTTCTTGGAACGGATCCGTAGAACAGCCGCCCCTACCTCCGATTCCCGGACGGGCGGAACATTGTCCTCCCCGTGCTCCCCGTCGTCTCCGGCCAGGGAGGCCATCGACGGGGGAGTGTGTTCCGCCCGTTGTGGGAAAAGGCCCTCAACCACTTCTCGCAGGAAGCTGGGCTGGAGAGTCTCCGTAAGGGGGGGGCCCGACGCGCGGAGCTTTTGTCGCACCGCGCGGTAAGGACGACCCCAGGGGTCACGATTAAGACCCTCCAGCATCTCCTGTCTTTTTTCCTCTTTGGCGCGGCTAATGGCCAACTTCAGAGTTTTCCGCGCCCGTCGGTACTCCTCATGAAGCCGGTCCTCCTCACCGTCTCCACGGTGACGCCGCCGACTGCGCGTGTAGGACCTCCGGGCACGTGTACAGGCTGCACGGAGGTCCGCCAGCTCCTGGGACCACCAGTAGACCTCCTTCCTTGGAGGCCGACGACCTCGAACGCGGGGCATGGCCGCATCGCATACATGCGTAATCGCATCGCGAAAGCGGCCAGCCCCCACGTCGACCTCCTCGGTCGGAGCCTGAGGAGACAGCCACGAGTGAATTATGGCTGCCTCCTCTAGTAGGTCCCGGTTCAGCCTGGCAACAGCCCACCGCGGAAAGCGGGATAAACGCCGCGCCACGTGACCCCTACTGGAGTCCTGGGTCCGGGAGAGCTCAAATCGGATATACAGGTGATCCGAGAGCGTCTCAACCTCTTCCAGGACACACCAGTTCCTTACTCGTGCGGCGAGGGCAGGGGTAGCGAACGAGAGGTCCACTATCGACCCCCCCTGCTGTCGCACGCACGTGTTGGTGGAGCCTCTGTTTAGAAGACAGAGGCCCACCGAGGCCGCCCACTCCTCTACGGCCTCGCCCCTTGCGTCCGTCCTGGGGGAACCCCACGCAATGGACTTTGCGTTGAAGTCCCCCAGCACAAGGACGTGCCCAGACGCTAGTCGCCGTATCGAGGTCTCCAAGCTGGTTAGGAAAACCTCGAAGTCGTTCAAACTCCGGTTGGGGGAGAAATAAACACCATATATGGTGATCCCCCCCCACTCGACGGCAACATATCCAGTGCCCTTGTCTCTTAGCGACAAGGGCGGGGAATGAGCCGTCGTGGAACCGACGACTGCCACGGAGCCGTCCCAGTCACCCATCCAGTTTGGACGGGGAGGGACAGAATAGGGCTCCGCGACTACGG